ACAATGTCATCTACCATGCTCGATACATATAGAATATTAATCTTCTAACGTGCGTGCATCTAAGTGGATATGTTAGGAACATGTTAGGTGACATTGTCAACTTTAAACCGAGTGGGTTTTCTTTGATGATCAATTATTTATATAAGCTGAAATGTTAATAAACACTTCAGCACTGTAAGAGATGACCATTTAGCATAGTTTCATCACTATTTTACTGTGGAGTTCCACGGTTAATTGAATTTGGATTCTGTGATCCAGCACAAGTCTAAAGGTGCCCATACACTGCTCGATTCTCGTACGAGAATCGCGGGAAATCCCGCGATCGTACGAGAATCGAGCAGTGTGAACGGAGACGTGCGACCGTTTCTACTGTACGGTCGCACGTCTTCCGTCGAACCAGCATGTTCGAAAACCAGCCGGGAATCGTACGATTCTCGGCTGGTTAGAACGGTGCTCGGAAGACAAATGCCAAACGGGCCGGTGTGCGCACGCGCACACTGCCCCTTCAGCATTGCGGTCATCGGAAGCCCGCCCCTCAGGGGGGCGGGCTTGCGATGATCGAGAGTGCGATCTGCCTGTCCAAGATAGGCAGATCGTACGTTTTTTTTAATCCCTGTACAACCATCGCAAGACTAAGGTCTTGCGATGGTTGTACAGTGTATGGCCACCTTAACTTTCTGTGCTGAGTGATAGTTTGTTCCAATTTCCCACTTAGTGTTGGGACCCTGCTGTGTGAGAATGTTGAGGAATCTCACATTATGATAACTTTATCCCTTCCACAGGCCATCCTAGCAGTGTTGAGGCTCCAGCATCTGAAGGAAATTACATTCCAGGAAGAATACAGCAGACTTTTCCCCCCTAACCCCCAGCCTTTTCCTTAACATTTTATTAACATACTAAATATCACTGTGCCTTAAACTGCTCCGTCCAATGTATCTCAATGTTTTCAGTTTAAGTTGGGGTCATTGCTGTTCTTGGTGCCTTAAGGTTTGTTTACACATACAGATGCTAAAGACAAGAAAACATAATTTTTTTAGATTCAGTGTATTTTGATTTATTTAACTAATTGCATGCTTTTCATTTGACGAATGGTGTTATTTGCCCTAAGCTATTTAAACCAGCATTTACATTACATTTGTCCGTTTAGAACATGTGCTGCTGTGGCTTACAGCACATTGATTGCTGATTGCACTGTACCTTGAAATAAGATAGAATGTGGTTACTGGCACATTTACCATTTTTAAAGGAAACTGGTACTTGAAGAAAAAAGAAGTCCGTCATTGCTGGCAGTCTTATTTTAAAATGCTAATTTCCATTTATGTCACTTTGATCCAGTGGCTTGAATGATGTCCTCATGGTCTGGGATTAGTATGCGGACCAGGAGCGTGGACTCCATGGCTCTGAATGTACTTGCTGCATGCTTCTTTTGCCCACGCCTATCCTTCATCAAGAAAGTATTAGTCATTGTACTGGTGTGGCAGCCAGACAAACAGCATTCTAAGAAAGTCAGCAATGGTGCCCCCTATTTATTTTCTCAGTACAGATTCCCTTTTCAAGTGACACTAAACTCAGGAGTTAAATTTAAAAAATACTTTCAAGTCGGCTAGAACTATGAGGTGAGTGTAAAGCACTCACCTCATAGTTCTCCTTTAATAGTTACAGTACTTGAATGCATTTTTAAGAATTAACACCTGAGTTTAGTGTCACTTTAAATAAAAACCTGTACTCTAAGCCTCTTTACTGGAACAAGTATGCAGATTGGGAGCACTCATTTGTCTCTGACATCCCTGATCTGTGAATCTTTTTAAAATCTGTCACTTGCAAAGTACTATAGCCAGGCAACTAACATTTTCATAGAGGCCAGTATTGGCTACCTATACATTTTCAGCACAGGTTTCCTTCTATAATGTTCAGCAAGCTGTATTCCAGAGCAGGGGTTCTATCAAGTTTGTGACTGCGTTAGAGTGTGTGACCGGTGATGTGGTCACAGTTTAATGTAATCCCGCCCAGTTTTTTGTCGGTACAATGTGTTTTTCAGCGGTGGTATATGTGACCGGCAAAATTAGAACAAGTCCAACGCTTTCTCAGCTGTTCCAGGGCAGATTGGTATTGCAGATGGTATGTGCAAGAGAACCGATCTGCCCTGAAACAGCTGATCGGTCCTGAAATGTCACTTCTATCCAACTCTGAGTGTGATTTCACGTTCCACAAAGTCGGATACAAGTGACATTTCAGGACCGATCAGCTGTTTCAGGGCAGATCGGTTCTCCTGCACATACCATCTGTGATGCCGATCTGCCCTGGAACAGCTGAGAAAGGGTTGGAATTCTTCTTTTGCCGGTCACATATTCCACCTCCGAAAAAGTGGCGTGATTACATTAAAATGTGTGATCACATGACCGGTCACACATTCCAACCTAGTCACAACCTTTGATAGAACACCAGCATGCTCCATACCTAAAGGGATTTCCACTACTTGAAGAATACTGGTAAACCCCAGGCCACTTTATAGTGGTAATCTGTAGGAGTTCAGTCTCTGACCTCCTGTATTCTGTCAGCTCAGGGTATATTCAGCACTGTTCCCATTTTCATTTATTAAAGGAAAATCTTCAGCAACTGAAGTGTATTTCTCTGGCTTTGCATTTGACGTTACAGAATTGGCACAATGGTTCCTTTTCTAAAGATATGGTTAACACCTCCAGTCGCTAACTTACCTCTGCTCTAAATGCATCTAAAATGACTGCATCACATCAGAAACAAGGTTTTGGCTCTGGAGTTGTAGTCTTAGGATGCTGACTTTCGGGTGATGGTTTTGTTGTAGTAGATGAATAATTTGTTATGAAGTAAAAAATAAAAAAAAAGCTCAAAATAGAGAATATATTGTGCAGTTGCGCAGACTATGAGTAGCAGTTAATGTCAAGATTTTTTTCTACTTTGGCTTTCAGTTGGCTTTCTAGGAAGAAGCTGTCTGAATCTCATGTGTAAACAAACCATTATATTTCTTTTTAAGCCTGGGGGCCAGCTTCTTTGTTGCCAAATCCTCACAACTGCTGAATATATGTGCCTTTCAATATACTTGGGTCCCGGTGTCATGTACTGTCTGTTGCTTGCCAAAGCCTTTTAAAGGTCACTAACATGACACGGGTATAAGTATGCTTTGGAGAGCGTTTGTTTACTAACCTGTTGTATTAATAGTATGTCAATTTTATACTGTTATGAATTGCTTATTTATACTCGGTGACAAGATGTCTACCTGCTTGTTGTTTGACTGCAAGTATATATAAAGAAGTCAGTACACTGTAATAAAAATATTATAGTAAACACTTATGTTGAAAATCATGTCAGGTTTTTTTCAGTTTTTACTACTTAAAGTATAACTAAAGGCCAAACTGTTTTTTAGATTTGGATAGAGTGGTGAGGGGTTAGAACCTGTCAGGTTTTTATTGTTGTCTGTGTCCCCCCCAGAACCATTCTCTCTCTCTGTTTGTCCTGATCACCAATGTCACTGGGAATGAAGGTGAGGGTGAATCCAAAAATGTTAGATGCCACCAAAATAAGAATAGAGGGGAAATCTTGCAATCGGACACTTGTTCCCGTAACAACTGTTTAAGACCCTGTTCACACCTGTGCAGTTTAGGTACCGTGTGTATCTGCTTGTTAATTCTGTTTGCTGCATCTTTGCTGCGCTTTCATCAAAACGTGTGTTTATATAGCGTTCCATGATAAAGCATGTTCCGTTTTTGGTGTATTTTACATGTTACCCTTGAACGCTGTACAACACGTGTTTTGATCGAAGTTCTTTAAATATGCAACAAGCAGGAATTTAACGCACCATACCTAAAACACAGGTGAGGGTGTTTTACATTGGAAAGATATCCTTCCACTTTCTGTTCAGTCTACAGGACAGGAAAAGGAAGAAAAGCTCCCTATTGAGACACAAAAAAAAAAAAGAACTGACGGGTTATAATTCTCCCCTACTCTATCCAAAATGAAAATAAACTTTTGGCTTTAGATATACTTTTAAATTAATCAGTATTGCACAGGTTAGTATAGGGCTAGCCTTATTTACTTATGCTTGAAGACATGGGCTCACTCACATCTCTGCACAAAAAACACAGATCAAAAGACCCATGGCTTTCAAAGTAGTGCAGTAAGGAGATGGTTTTTAGAGGGCTGCTATTGCTGCACACTATGTTATGAACACCCAAACTACAGCATTCACATATATGGGAGTGTACTACATAGATTTGAGCGAACCATTGAATAAAATGGTCTGCTTCTCATTTGTGGTCATGTAATGCACAGAAATCCTAAACTGCTCAGATGTGAAAGAGCTCTTAAAGCTCAATTGAAAGCTTCTTTTTTATTATTGTAATGCAGTCAGCTGCATAGGCAGTAATAAATATGGGTGTTTTTATATATATTTTTTCTGTATCTTTTTGTGCTGCAGTCTCTCAACCAGGGTGCCCCTGCACCCTGAATGCCTTCTGACTTTGTCAGGGGTGCCTTCAAATTTGTGCACAGCATCATGCAATTTCATGGTGCAGGCAAGCTGGGCACCAACACCATGGGGAAGCATAATGCTAATCCAGGGCAATCTGTGTTGCACAGTGGTGTGGATCTCCAGCATGCTGCCAGCATTATAACCCTTGCTGCAGCAGAGTAGAGTACAGTAAAGACTAAAAATATTTTTTAGTGTTTATGGAGCCTGACTGCATTGTAGTAATAAAAAGAAGCTTCAGTTGGGCTTTAAGTTATTCATAGCGTTAATATAAAGTTTAAGAACTGTTGTGCCATATGTAATGGGGTACAGTCAGTAAAAGGGGAGATATTCTATGGACTAATGACTGCTGCTTTAACACTTACTAACCAAGGTGATGGGTGTCTGTCTCCTTTTTTTTTTTTTTTATCCCTCCTATCTTTGCCATTTTCTATTGGCCCAAACCTTGCACTATTCCCATTCCTTAACCCCTTACTTTCCCATCATCATGGATTCCAAGGCGGGACAAGCGGTGCTGGCCTACCAACGCTACACTCTGGGCTCAGATTCGGCACTGTTCTCTCAGGACTACATGGACCCAAGCCAAGATCAAGGGCCTCCTTATCCCCCTTATGCCAGCAATGAGGATCTAGACCCTTCTGCTGGCTACCAACAGCCTCCCATGGATGCCTATGAGGCTGGCACACAGGGCTATCAGTCCCAGGATTATTAAACTCCTCCATAAAGGAACTTTCATTGCCTGACAGGCCAGCAACTCCTTTCCTTGCAATTTGTTGCGGCCTTTCTGATAGTGAAAGAGGTAACAGTATGTCCTTATTTTTTATAACACTGTCAAAGAAGGATCTGCTATTATTTTTTACATGTGTTTATTAAAACAGTCTTGTTTTTTCTGTTTGTTTAGCTGTTTGTAGTTTTGCCAGTTTTATACCATGCCATTTGTAGGGTCGAACACTCTACATTTGTTTTGGCAGTTGTAAGCAACAACTACCTCTCCAGTCATTTGTAAATTATAACGCAAACTGAATTTTGCCAATACCTGACTGAGCATTGCTGGAGGTGTTAAACTAAACCAGCACAAACCTGGGTAATTCTAACTTAGTCTTTGATTAAATAAAGCTTAAGCCAAAGTTACAGAAGAACCAGAGATATAACATTTTAATTTATATATAAATTTTGACTTTTTCTGTAAAAATCTAGCTTGGCCCGTCCCCCTCCAGCCTCCTGAGCCTTAATGTTGATCAATGGGACTGCCTGACACAATAAAGGACCGATAGAAAGGCTTTGGACAGGGCATAGTCAATTTTTTTTGCAGGCATAAAGTCAAAATTTTGCATATAATGTCTGGAATATATCTGTAGATTTATTAATATACGTATGTATTTTCTTATCATTTACTCAGTCTAAATTGCCCAGGTTTGAGATGGGCTTATCTTGAGTACTTTGGGAGTTATATTCCAGCAATAGTGTAAAGATTTTGAAATTGTTAGTTTCAGGTGTGCAGGTAACTAATTGCTTACAAATGATAGGTCACTGTATTTCACAATCAACTTCTTCAAGGCTACGTTGCTCCACTACTAACTACAAACCAAATGTACAAAAAAGCTGGTGACAAAATGTTCTATAATATTTCATACAAACCTTGCATCCTGTGAAAAGGTTAATTTAAGCATCATAACAATCCAAAGTCCATTCTGTAAATGGAAATTAACCTGTGCTTTGCTCATGCAGGGCAAAGCTACAGATTCACTTAGCTGCTGACCTCCCATGCTGCGCCTACCTTCCTTTTACTCTACGGCCACTCCCTTGAGCCAGTGGGAGCTAAGAGAAATATGTAGGACATCTGAGTATTGGGAGAATGTGACCTACTGCCCTTCCTCCCATTACTCAGCACTGCTGAGTTCTGATCAGACACCCTATACTGCAACTTGCAGTTTACACTTTTCTTCACTATAGTAAGATAATGAAAGAAAGGTACAATATGTGCAGATGGGGGATGGTGCCGGTTTAGTGAATCTATTGCTTTGCATTAGCAAAGGTTCACCTTACTGCTGAAAGAGTTTGTAGTTGCATGGTATTTGTTGTGTATGTGTAGATAACAGGAATGGTAGGAGTTAGGTGAGTAAAGACCTAAGAATTTTGGCAGGGGCATTTTACTGCTGGAGTGGAAAAGAGCTTCAACGCTCTACCAGACTCCATTTTTACCTTAAATATCACTTCTGCACGGACGGACCCTCTGAATTTCTCCTTCTGATAAAGTCTAATACAACAGATCTTAGATCCATTTACAGAAATATGTATATGGACATGATGACAGGTATAGAATGTTATTGATTATTGCTAGAAGCCACTTTTTTCTTTTAGTTGAATCAAAATATTCCAGCCCAGTTCCACAAACTAATATTTCTGCCTTCTTGAAAGAGAGAAATGTTATGATGGTATGGATTAAATCTGGCAAAACTGTTCTTTCAAATTTTGCTACACCCAGATGAAAAGAGATTTGAAGCACGATGAGGAGCAACACATCAGATGATGGGGACTGTATAGATTATGAAAGCCATTTTGGATATGCCATTTGCAAAATGTACACGTGTTAAATAAAACATTCTTTGGTTGAAGCACTTCCTTGGTTAAACAGAGATCTGAAAGGGAAGCTATGATCTAATTAAAATGATGTTGTATGATCCGTGTTATGTATATAATCTAGAAATAGATTTAACTAAACGAAGAAAAAACAGTATGGCAGTCTCTTTTCAAATATGGTGCTTTTCAATTTTTTTTTTAAAGCTATGTTGTTGTTAGAGAAGTGTTACTGATTGTGACGTTTCATTCTTGATAAAAAAATATGGTACAGTTCTTATAACCCAAAGCTGCGGAAATTGAAAATGCCTTCTTCAGTAAAACAACTTGTTGCTTTGACTTGTGTGCAGTTGGTGTTACAACTGGATTCCCTGGTATCCTGTGATGTTTATGAAGAAACAATCTCCTGTAAATTATACTTTTTGTCTAGCATTATTAGCACCACATCATCATGGACAAAGCTTACAAATTAAATATCACTGAAATGGTCATTGTAACAAAGAGACCATATGTAGCAAAGTAATCCATATTTATTTCTGTTCCTAACAGACTAGCATTTTCTCGAAAATGAGTAAGCCTTGTGTGAAATAAATGCACCACCACCCATGCCATACTAGATGATGACAGCTGGAATCTCACTGTGGATAACAGACCCTTTTTTTTTCCAGGGCCTATTGTGGTTTTACTAATAGAGATCTCTTTGTACAAAGAACAAAACTGACAAAGATAAGGGCATCATGTTCTCTTAGAGCATTCTTAGTTTGTGTGATTAGCTGCTGATTCAGCTTGATGCATCGGATGTGTTAGCATGATATGATGATCAGTCAGCATATAGTAAACCCTCTAAACAATCCTTCAAAAAGGTAAATAAAAATATAAAATACTAGTCTTTTCTGTTTAAATCCTAGGCATCCTCCCTTCTGCTGGCAAGTCACATGACAAGCATAAAGGCATGGGTCATATTGCTATTTTCAAATGGTAGGATTAGTCTTCAGGCAGAGCTAATGATAGACAGGTTGTGCTTGACCATCAAAGTCTCTGCAGCAAAGACTGTAAGCAGTGGTGAAGTATTGACCAGGTTACCTACTACTGAAGAAGAGAATATTGCCTGAATTAAAGCAGCATTTTACCACTTGGATATTAGTTTTGCACTCAAGGGACATAGTTTATTAAATTTACACCAATCTTTGAGTTGCGTGTTCAGTTATGGCGCAGGATTCAAGTTCAGCAAGCGGTCTTTATATAAAAAAAAAAAAAACCTAATATTACCATTTATTTTACAATTCAGATTTAATAACAATCACAGTATTGATATCTGTGTTTCAGAATGGGTACTAATTTAAAATCCAGTAATTTAAACCTCCCATAACCAGGCAGGCATTTGTTTCTGCATGTGATATAACTACAAAATATACATAGAATAAAGGTTTTTTTTAAGGATTACTCACTGATGAGATTATGCACATTGAGATGATCTGTTTTACAAGTACAGTATATATTAACATAAAGATCACAGTCACTCATTTATTGAATCCTTATGTAGGGCCACATTCAGTACTATTTAGTACGAAGTAAAGCAGTGCAAAAATAGTAACTTACAGCAATCTAACAACCTGATTCTGATCATTGCTAAGGTTTGCTGCGCTTTGAGGATTGCCCTTGGCCTTACTGAAACCACTTGTAACATGCTTACTATGGTATAAAAGGTATAGGAATATGTAAATAGGAACGAAGGCCTTAGCTTTCATCATAGTAACAAGCAAACAGGAAAATAAGTAGAATTCAAGCCAATACGTTTGTTTTAGTAGAGTGAGAAGAATTAAAATTTCTTTCCATTTGTGTCTCTGTTAAAGAGGCATCACCTCACTTCCTGTGTCACTGAGATTGGTAGTGAGAAGATATGGAAAACTTCTCTAGTAGGCATACCGAAATAAGAACACAGGCAAAGGATTATAGACTGTTTTTTTTTGCTGTCACTCAGAATATTGGAGTGAAATTCTGCACTATGGGGGGAATGTATCAAGTATGGAGCAGACAGAATCTGGAGCAGTTGCCTATAGTAACCAATTAATATCTCGCTTCAGTTTGTGCCGCTAAGCTTTGATGAATGAAAGATAGAAGCTTACTGGTTGTCATGGGAAACTGCTTCAGATTTTGTCTACTCCAGTTTTGATAAACTCCCCTATATGTGTTTCATTGGAAGTATGGGAAATCTCTCTAGTTGGGACACGCATTACAATAAAACAGTAGGTGTCTATAAGTGACATAAAACTAATGTGTCGATAATGTCTGCCAACAAACAAAGAAGAACAAGTATATTTTTAAAAATATGCCAGATTTTCAGGTACACATTATGTATTAAATTTGATTACCCTTGCAGTGGGGCTTCCCCAGCATTGTAAGAGTTAAATGCTTGTTTCATCTTGGAGGGATACAAACAGTAACTATACTTAGGTCTCGCTTCCCCAGCAGCTGGCGCTCTTTTCCTCCCTCTGACGCTTTGGGTGGTTCCTCAGCATCCTCACATTGCAAGACTGCTGGTCCTGCATTGTACGTGATGATG